ATTTTAGCATTACAGATACATTAATCCATTCCCACTCTTAACACTGCTCACCTTTACTACTTCCTTCATCACCCCCTATGTCGTGGACCTGTTTCCCTCTCTTCCCATAGCTTTTTAGGATTGCAAATACGTATTTGCTAAAGACTGTTCCCACACTCTGCACTGCTAGCCTTACTACTTCCTTCACCAATTCCTACGTCATAGACCTGTTTCCTTCCCTTCTCATAGCATTTTAGGATTGAAGATACATTAATCTAACTGCCACAGACGGTTCTCACACTATGCTCATACTTTCATCGCAATCAACACGCCTACCAGCCAGGCAAGTCCTGTGAAACCGCTCTGCACGAATTGGTCAGCAGAATTGAGGACAGCCTGGCTGCTAAGGAAATAGCCCTATGCACCTTCATGGACATTGAAGGAGCTTTCGACAATGTAACATACGGAGCAATGGTGCGGGGAATTTGTGAGCGTGGACTCGAGCAATCTCTGTGTAGTTGGACAGAGTCTATGCTTAACTCAAGACGCACCGTAGCCGACTTTCTTGGTGAAAAAATTGTGATCGCACCCACAAAAGGATGTCCACAGGGAGGTGTACTTTCACCCTTACTGTGGAACCTTGTGGTGGACGGTCTTTTAACTGAACTCACCAGCAAGGGCATCTTTGTCCAGGGCTATGCAGATGACGTAGTCCTCATGGTACAAGGAAAATTCACAAACATTGTAGCTGACGCCATGAACGGCAACCTACAATGTGTTAAACAATGGTGTCTCAGAGAAGGACTCAACATTAATCCTTCTAAGACAGTCATAGTTCCTTTCACCAGGAAAAAGAACCTGGATTCTCTTTCCAGGTTGAAAATTGGCACTACTCAGCTGGGAGTGTCGAGTGCGGTCAAGTATTTAGGACTGACACTTGACTCCAAGCTGACGTGGAACAACCACCTGAATAACGCGCTGCATAAGGCCAAATGGGCGCTCATGACGTCCAGGAGGTTTGCAGGAACCACCTGGGGAATTAAACCCCACATAGCACTCTGGCTATACGAGGCTGTGGTCAGGCCTCAGATTACCTATAGTTCACAAGTCTGGTGGACAAAGGTGAATCAGGTAACTGTCATAGCCAAGCTAGAAAGCATGCAAAGGCTCGGCACGCTACAGGCCACTGGAGCCTTCAGGAGTAGTACATCAGCTACTCTAGAAGTCGCTCTTGGGCTGCTACCACTGGACATCTTCATCAGATCTGAGGCCCTCAAGGCAGCTTACCGTCTGAAGGCTGCAAATCTGTGGAGGGAAGGCCTGTCAGGGGCAGGTCACTTCGCCATCGCTAAGACTTTGGCTGAGTGTCCTGTGCTTGACATGACCTCGGACTTCCTAAGCAAGAAAGCAGTTTTCACAAACCCTTTAATGTTGAATTCCGCTCCAGAGATGAGTGGAAACATCAGGAAGGGTATCTCCAAGATATGGAGAGCTTCGTCTGGTACACAGACGGCTCCCTAATCGATGGAAAATCTGGTTTTGGGGTTTACTGTCAATCACCCAGAACAGAACTATCAGGAAGTCTGGGATAATACTGTACCATCTTCCAGGCAGAAATCTATGGCATCTTGGCTTGTGCCAACCTAGGACTAGCCAGACGGTACCAAGACAAAAGGATAATGATTTTATCTGATTGTCAGGCTGCTCTCAAAGCTCTTGACTCAAACGAAGACACCTCAAAACTGGTCTGGAAGTGTTTCAACACCCTCTGCAGACTTGCATCACAGAACTCTGTAACTCTCGGCTGGGTCCCAGGCCATGTAGGCATTGGCGGCAACGAGAGTGCAGACAAGCTGGCAAAAAAAGGTGCGAGCATGCCACTCTTTGGACCAGAGCCATTTTGTGGCATCAGCAAAGCGGCCGCTAAACATGTAATCAACAAATGGTCCAGGGGACAACATCTTGAGCGTTGGCGTAATTATCCTGGACAATCACTTGGCAAAAAACTGCTCTCAGAACCTAGCACCCTCTTCACTCGCTGGCTGCTAAAGCTGGGGAGAGGGCAGGTCAAGCAAGTACTTGCTCTTATCACTGGACACGGCCATTTCAGGAAACATCTGCACACTCTAGGAATTGTCAATGACAAGCAGGAGTGTCGACTTTGTAACCAGTCCGATGAGACTGCAAAACACATTATTCTGGACTGTGATGGACTACGGGCTAGGAGAAGGGCTCTGTTTGGTCTAAAGCAGCCAGGAGAGGAACCAGACGCTAACATTGGGCAAAAGCTCCTGTACCTAGTTAAAGACACAGGCATAGGCTTACCCAGTTAGTGGCAAGTGGGATGCACAATAAGCTTCGGTTGACATGCTTGGACCATGAGTCCACCCTCTTACAATCAATCAATCAATCAATCATGCTCATACTTTACTACTTCCTAAGCCACTTCCTACGTCGTGGGCCTGTTTTCATCACTTTCCATAGCATTTTAGTATTTTAGATACGTTAATCTAATTGCCACAAACATTCCCCACACTCCGCACTGCTAGCCTTTACTACTTCTTTCACCATTTCCTATGTCGTGGGCATGCTTCCATCCCTTCTCATAGGATTTCAGCATTGCAGATACATTAATCTAACTGCTACAAACGGTTTCCAGTTCCCACACTCCACACTGCTCACCTTACTTCTTCCTTCACATCTTCCTACGCCGCGGACCTGTTCCCTCTCTTCCCGTAGCATTTTAAGATTGTAGATACCTTAATCTAATCGTCATACACAGTTCCCACACTCCGGACAGCTCGCCTTGACTACTTCCTTCACCACTGCCTACGTCCCAGACCTGTTTTCCTCCATTCCCATAACATTTTAGGATTGCAGATCCCTTAATCTAATCGTCATTAACAGTTCCCACACTCCAGACTGTTCGCCTTTACTACTTCCTTTACCACTTCCTACGTCACGGACCTGTTTCCCTCCCTTTCCATGGCATTTTAGAATTGCAGATACTTTAATCTAATCGTCATGAACAGTTCCCACACTCCGGTCTGCTCGCCTTTACTACTTCCTTCACCACTTCCTACGTCACGGATCTGTTTCCCTCCGTTTCCATAGCATTTTAGAATTGCAGATACCTTAATCTAATCGTCATAAACAATTTCCACACTCCGGACAGCTCGCCTTGACTACTTCCTTCACCACTTCCTAAGGTGTCGCGGACCTGTTTTCCTCCCTTCCCATAGCATTATTGGATTGCAAATACTTTAATCTATTGGTCATAAACAGATCTCACACTCCGAACAACTCGCCTTTACTACTTCCTTCACAACTTCCAAGTTACGGACCTGTTTCCCTCCCTTTCCTTAGCATTTTAGAATTGCAGATACTTTAATCTAATTGTCATAAACGGTTCCCACACTCCGGACAGCTCAACTTGATTACTTCCTTCACCACATTCTCATAATCCTACGTCGCAGACCTGTTTTCCTCCCTTCCCATAGAATTTTAGGAATGCAGATACCTTAATCTAATCGTCATAAACAGTTTCCACACTCCAGACTGCTCACCTTTACTACTCCCTTCACCACTTCCTACGTCACGGACCTCAAGCTAGTGTCGTCATTTGATTACATTTATGATCCATACCGTTTCTGTTCTAATATCTGTGGAATAATGCTATTAGCTCTTTCTTTATCTACTGCATTTAAAAGTCAATAGCTGATCATATGTCTTTGTTTATGTGTCAAATACTGCTTCCATAAGGATTACATTGAAACTTTGAGACCCAGCGGGGCGGATTCCTGAGAGACTTTTTTAACGCCATATAGATTTTGGCACTCACCAGTATGGTCTTTATCACCATGCAAAATTTGAAAACGATTGATTCAGCCGTCTAGGAGGAGTTTGCGTATTACGAAATGCATAAGAGTCGACGTATAAGAGCTTCGCTCAATAATATGTGACTAATACACTTTAAAACCACAAAAATTATGTTTTTGATAAACAACAATCGCTAAAAGAAATTAAACTCTTGACTCAAACATTTTTTAAATATTATATGAACAAAACAAAAATATAGTGGTCAATATTTATTTGTCTTTAATAAATATCAATATTGAACCAGAATTGTAAGTTGTTCTATTATTAGTATTTAGTAGTAGTTAATTCATACTAAATACCAACTGATTTAACTAAATTTGTAAATTCGTTAGATAGAATGTTGTTAGGTACTGGGGTAATTGGTTCTTAGTTTGATAAAGTATTAGTTCAGAATATGATTTCCTTGTTTCATCAGTGTTAGTGGGGATCTATTTGCTCCATTGCTGCCAGCTTGTGTGTACAGTAGTCGCAGCTAGTCTGGGAGCGCGGCCGCACTAGGGCGTGGGGTGTAGAGGGGAGTGTTTATTGCTCATTTCCAAAAAAACGTCAGTTCAGCGGCTGAGGGTTGTGAGCTGTGGGGGTGAGTGAGCTGTGGGGGTGAGTGAGCTGTAATTCTCAGGATGTCTAGTACACAAGGGTCCGCGCGCCCAGACTTACTGCGACTACTGTATTCGGTGGTATAAACGATACAACTACAAAATAATGTCTGCAGTTTTCAAATCAAAACTGCCAAATGTCAGCTGTCAAGCTATTGTTTCAAAGGTGGAGGGGATAGATTTCTTCCCCTAAAACTGCCTAGATTTTGTGAATGAAGTATAGTAGGTATGAAAATATCTCCCACAAAACCTTCAATATCAATTCTTAAAATTTTGTATGGGCTTGCCTTTCTATCGTATTTCTAAACGTGGTGCCATTTCCGCACTTGATCCTCCTCTTCTTGGGATTCGGGGCTTTTTTTTTTAGTTCGCTATTTAGCTACCACAAATGGAAAATGGCTTACAAAATTAGGGATTTAAGTTTAAAAACCTTCCTTTAAATAAAATAAAATAATTATTTTTTTAGGAAATAAAGTTAATCGCGGATAGTAAATCAAATCAATATGAAAACAGTATCAATAATTAGTTAAATGTTAATTTTGATAGGTTATTCTGGCATTGGGGGACTTCATGAATGTGCAATGTCATGCGTGTATTGGAGGAACCAATCTGGGCGAAGATCTCCGCAAGCTGGACTACGGCCAACACGTTGTATCAGGCACTCCTGGCCGAGTGTTTGACATGATACGACGTCGTGTGCTGCGTACTCGCTCCATCAAGATGTTGGTGCTGGATGAGGCTGACGAGATGTTGAACAAAGGATTCAAAGAGCAAATCTATGATGTTTACAGATATTTGCCTCCTGCTACACAGGTAAAGACCCTACAATAATAACTGACATAGTATTTTAAATCCAGTGTTTCATGAATAATTTATTAAGTTGAATCAAAGTTAGAAAATCCAGTTGAAATAAAATTTGATGAAAGAGAATGTGATATCGTCACTATACTGTACGTGATTCAATTCCTTTGATATCACGGACGATTAATATCAAACATTAGAAATGACAAAATAAATTTTAACAAAAACTAGGTATCTTCTTTATTGTATTCAACAAAACAACATACTAAACTATTTTCTGTTTACAAAAACAATTGAAAAACATATGACTGTTTATATATTAATTACTAAACAGTCTTTTGGCAAACTTATATGAAATATATTGAGGGGTTTTCTTTATCAATGATTAATCATCGTACGTCAATCATCCCCCCCCAAAACCCTCAATATATATTTCAAATCTTCCTCTTTCTAGACCTTAAGTTATACCCAGGTGAAGCATCGTTATGGTCTTCAGCTTCTTGCTCTTCGAACTCTCTTCGGCTTGTCGATTCATATGTTTGATTTGTTTTACGTTTTCTTTATGCCATGCAGTCAAATTCATAGTTTCAGGAGACTTTTCATGCATGAAGTTCCAATCACCAGTTCTTTTTATTTCCCGACCAAGGAAAAGTGGCCGACGTCCACTCATGCTTGTACTAGCTTTTTGGTTGTTAGCCTTGGTACAGGCACAGATAGTGCAGGATTGGACGTAGTTCTTGATGTCCCGATGCATAGGGTAGCAGCCGGAATCCCTGGTTAGGATTGAGGGGCAACCCTCTTTCCGAAGGGTCTGCTTCGGCAGCCGGCGAGCCTGATGACCTTAAGTCATCCGCCCATGATGTGCTAAAGGTTGATGCGTAAGCTTCGGCCTACATCATGGGGCCCGGGTTGAGTCTCACGACAGGTACCGGGTACGTAGTCAGGGGGCTTCGGCTCTCATGACAAAGAATAATAATAAATAAATAAAATAATAAATAATAATAAATGTCCCGATGCATATTTACCCAGAAGAAACGACGCCGAATCGAAGTGTAGGTCTCATCTTGTCCTGGATGGCCAGCTTCAGGGCTGTCGTGGTACTTCTCTAGAATACTTACACTCTGAGACTTCGGAACTACAATCACAGGGGAAGATTCTGATAGATGAGATTTGTACATAAGTAAACTCTCTTCCAAGCGAAGGTTCTTATAGCATGTCTTAAACTGGAATGGGATAGCTTCGGAATTATTGTAACGTTTGGTTATCCAGGATTTCATTCTACTACAAGCTGCATCTTCATTCTGCCATTTCTTTATCAGTTCCAAGTCAATGTCACAATTTTCCCGTTGTGCCACCATAAGAACAGGCTCAATCTGTCTTAACTTCATTGGGACTGGAACTTCCCTCTCCATGAGTTCTTTGGATATCTCACCACTGTCTACCGGTTTTCTTGACAAGCTATCAGCAATAGTTTTATTGTTGACTTGACGTAAATCCACACAAAGCCTGTAGTCTCCGTTCTTCTTTTTGGGTAATACTATTGGTGAAGCCCATCCTGAAGATGACGGTTCAATTAGCCCTTGATTATCCATTTCCTTTACTTTGTCGGGGTTAAGAGGGTAAGGTTTCTGTTTGACAGGAGTGTCATCTTTACAAGAGATCTTATGTTTTACCGTAGTAGTGAACCCAATTCTGTCTGTAATTACTTCTGGAAAGATACTGAGTAAATTATTCAAGTCTGTTCTTTGATTGAGATCCAATATTCCCGTTTTCAGTTCATCCAAAATGTTGTTTTCTAATTCTGCTCCCAAATCAAAGTGTTTGTCCTCTAACCATCCCAATCTGACTCTATTTTTAATGCCAAAAATTATTTCATTTGCTGTATAATCTATCAACACACCGTATTTTACAAGGAAATCATGCCCTAGTATGATTTCCGGGATTAAATCCTTAATCACTTTTACCGGAATGTGAATAGATTCTTGAGAACATTTGGCTTCAAGAAAAGTAAATCCTTCGATTTTGTAATTTATATCTTGTACTGCACCTTTGACAACAGTTACGCCGTCTGGACGAACAGGTTTTAACAATTTTGCCACCGTCATGTCAATAAACGAATGTGATGCTTGAGTATCAAGGATTGCAGTAAAATATTTGTCACCAATCTGTAAACCAATTGCCGGTCGGGGATTACCCACACTCTCACTAGAAATTTGACCAATATAGGTTCGTTCTGACTTGTAGTTTTGGGACTTAGAAACTCTTCCTGAACCATTCTCGTCCCTATTAGAATGGTTCTGGTCTAGATAATTCTCCGGACAACGGGCCTTCACATGCCCAGTTTGCCCACATTGATAGCATTTAAAGGAATTAACAAGGTTCAAAGATCTTGCTTTTGAGGAATACAAGCTTACCTCTTCGTCTAGTTTTGCTACTATGCTCCTAAACTCGTCAAATGATTTTGGTTGAGCTACTTTAACGAGAGACCTAATCTTATCATGTAAAAGTTCCACAATATAAGTAACACTCTCGTCAATACTCCCACCATAATTCATTCTCTTAAACAACTGTAACTTTTGAATAACAAATGCTCCAGCTCTCATGCCACTAGGTTGAACATCCGTCAAGAATTTCTTTGTGATTAATGCTTTGACAGCCTCTGAATTAAATCTCTGCATAAACTCATGTTTGAATGTGTCCCATTCTAGACTTAGACCCTTAATGTTTTGCCACCAAGTACCTGCCGAACCTCTCAACTGTTGGCTCACAATCTGCACATATATTTCTGACGGTATACACGTCCGTTTTAACAAAGACTCGCTAGTAGCTAAAAACGCTGTGGGACATTCCTCTAACCTGCCGTGAAATTCCGGTAAGCTGTCTTTTATAATTTTGGGATCCACAGCAGGCATGAATGATGGTTGGTACTCTGGATTATTCCAAGTAATTGTCTTTTCCTGTGAGGATATCTGTGTTTCAATAGCTTGAATTTTATTGTGAAATGTAGTTTCCATGTAATCAATTTTAGTTTCCAATTCATTTAATTTATCAGAGTTACCATCAAAATTTGTTTCTAATTTTGTAATTTTATCAATGGTCACGACAACATCTGACTCCAATGATTCAATTCTTTTGTCTAATTTTGAATAGTTGTGAGAAATTTGTTCCATAAATGATGACATTTTACTATTAATATCTGCCGACTGTGTGTCAAGTTTCTCAGATTGGATATCTAGTTTCTCCGAAATTTTGGACAGTAGAGTACTCACCGGGTCAGGTTGTGGTATTTGTTCTGCCAACTGGGTATTCCGTCCTACCCGTGATCGAAGGTCGTAGGCTTTGCTTCCTGCCTCCTTCTGCTCACCTTCTTCCAGGCCTTTCTCTAGCATTTCAGTTGTAAAATCTTTAACTCCTAATTTTGTCATTTCTAAATTAAAAGTCCTGTCACGGTCGCCAATTGATATCGTCACTATACTGTACGTGATTCAATTCCTTTGATATCACGGACGATTAATATCAAACATTAGAAATGACAAAATAAATTTTAACAAAAACTAGGTATCTTCTTTATTGTATTCAACAAAACAACATACTAAACTATTTTCTGTTTACAAAAACAATTGAAAAACATATGACTGTTTATATATTAATTACTAAACAGTCTTTTGGCAAACTTAGGCCTATATGAAATATATTGAGGGGTTTTCTTTATCAATGATTAATCATCGTACGTCAAATGAAAAAGAAATAAGAGTGAAAGAGACAAAGTGAAGCCACAGCAAAGCAGGCCAGGTGTCCTAGTTTTGTATGATTGTTAGGCTTATTGAGTAAGTAAAATCATAGATAAAACTTACTCCCTTAGTAGATTTGTCATCCTTATGGAACAGCTGAAGCCAATTTTAATGTTAGTTCTGTACGTCCAACTGTAGAGGTTGTGTTTTGTTTTCAATTCGTTTCTTGTTATTTCAGTAATTTAAAACCTCATTTAACCAAATAAAAAGATATAATTTATAAACAATAACTCATCCCCTTGTTCTATAACCAAATAGTACAAATCATGAAAATAAACCCTAAAATAATAGACACAAAATTTTGTCTACCCCAGCAATCAGTGTGGACGTACATGAACTAGACACGAAAAACAAGCTTCAAAATTTACAATGGGATGATGAGTCTACTTGTGTTGCTTAGTCTATGGTAAAATTCTAGCAAACCATATTGAAGTTTTCTGCCGTAACTAACTTCTCTCTTGCACTACAGTACATGTTATATATTATATTATATAGATTGTTCGCTCAGTTTGTTTCCAAACCATCTATTTAAAAAATTGTTTATCATAGTTGACAAGAGAATGTTTAGAGGAGTCCTTAAGCTTTTTTCACAGAGAAAAAACTTTTTATATCCTAATGCACAAATTTTGAAACATGAGTAGTTATTTTATTGGAAATTAAAAACAAATACATTTTACCATCTTACTTTTGTTTAATTAGGCTAAATAATGTCTCATCCAGCCAATAAAAAGAGTTACTCTTTGAAATAGATCATATTACAGAAGAACATAATTAATCTGGATTAATTGGGACTGGACCTCATCCGGATTATCAAATTATCTGGATTATCAAAATTACCTTAAAAATTGGCCATTAATCATAATTTAGGGATAGTCCATGGATAAAAATTCTGGTCATTGATAGTCGGTCATGGAAATAGATAAAAAATCATGGAAATACCTAATAATGGAGAGGGGACTTTCAATGCTCTATTCGGCCATAACCCCCACTATTGTAGAATTTTTCAGTATTTTTCACAATTCTATTTATTACATACTTTGTGATTGGCTGACCAGGATTTACTTTTAAATATTATACATAAGACTTACTGTCTTGAAGCAATCCAGTGTTGTACTTAGTGTACAGCTGTTTCAGCTTTACAAAGCCATCTTCAGCACTTCTTCATAGAGGTTATTTCATAATAAATATGCGAACGTCCTTGTTCTTCTCAACTTGTTACAATATATTTTAAACACAAATAAAAACACGAAAGACGAAAGATAAACTTTGGTTGGCCTACTTGTATGTCGCAACATAACCCCACTTTGACACATTGTTTTCCATGCTAGAGACAAATTCAGATGATTGAAGATCTGGATTTTTGACGTCCGAATTATAAACATTCTACTGTATTTAATTTTTGCAGGTTGTTCTTGTATCTGCTACATTGCCTCATGAAATCCTTGAAATGACTAGTAAATTCATGACTGACCCAATCCGCATTCTGGTGAAACGGTAAGTTTGATTTTTAGTTAGAATAGTTTTTGAGATTTTACAGTAGGCATATAGTTATTTAAAACTCTTTTAAATACTTACTTACCTCATAATATCTTAAGCAAAATAAAAATCCATATGAGATGGCTCTAGCCAATTGTTACAAGGGTTAACACGTTTGTTGCAGGCTACTATAATTGTAATACCTACTTGAGCACTAGCACTCCATGCAGTCTACTATAAATGTAGCAATCAGTGTTGCCACCCTGGACCCATGAAAATTATCCCACCTGAGTAAGGAAAATCCCCAACCAAAACAAAAATCCTCCAGTAATCCATCAAGTCATAAAAATCTGTATAGAAAGTCCCCAATTTTCCGCTATCCAACCGCCAAATTCTACAAAAATCCTTTTTAACTACCAATTATCCTCAATTCATACCTATCTATGCCATAGTGTGTGGGTAAAAATTCACTCTACATGAATATATTACTATAACATACATACATTATTTATTCACTCCATATCAAATGTGTATAGTATCTTTTCTGAGCGGTAAAAATCCTCATTTTATCCTCAGCTAAAACAAAAATCCTCCAATTATCCACCAAGCCATAAAAATCTAAAGAAAGTCCCCAACTGTTCTCCATCCAATCGCCAAATTATATAAAAGTCTCTTTTAACCCTTTTACCGCCACGGGCCGATTAGATCGGACTTACCTGATGTCGTGAAAACCGCCACGGACTGATCCAGGGTGTCTACCAGTCGGGAATTCCGGGAAATTCGGGAAAAAGTCGGGGATTTTGAAAGGTCGGGAAAAGTCGTGAAAAAGTCATGAATTTCGGCCGAAAGTCGGGAATAATCTAACCTTTCAAAACTAGGGATGAACGGGTCCCAAAACTTTAAAACAAATTCTGGATCTTATATTCCTGATCATTGGGACGGGATTACATTGAAGGGGTGTGGGATGAATCGAAAATGCATCGGAATTCCAATTTGATTCAGTGATGATCAAAATAACAATTTGAATCATGGGCATTCAGTATCCATATACGTTATTGAATCAGTATCCAAATAAGTTTTTGAATCAGTATCCATACTTTATTGAATCAGTATCCATATACGTTTTTGATTCAGTATAAATATACGTTTTTGAATCAGTATCCATGTGTTATTGAATCAGTATCCAAATACGTTTTTGAATCAGTATCCATACATTTTTGAGTCAGTATCTATATACGTTATTGAATCAGTATCCAAATACGTTTTTGAATCAGTATCCATATACGTTATTGAATCATTATCCAAATACCTTTTTGAATCAGTGTCCATACGTTATTGAATCAGTATCCATATACGTAGTTGACTGTTACATTGATAGTGTTACTTTGACTATCAGTATCCATATAACTTATTGACATTATTCAAATGATTGACATTAATTATATAAGTTATTCACTGAGACATTGCTTAGCCATACAAGTTATTACCCTCCAAGTACATGGCATACACTGAAACATTGCTTAGCCATACAAGTTATTACCATCCAAGTACATGGCATACACTGAGACATTGCTTAGCCATACAAGTTATTGCCATCCACGTACATGGCATACACTGAGACATTGCTTAGCCATACAAGTTATTACCATCCAAGTACATGGCATACACTGAGACATTGCTTAGCCATACAAGTTATTGCCATCCACGTACATGGCATACACTGAGACATTGCTTAGCCATACGTTATTGCCATCCACGTACATGGCATACACTGAGACATTGCTTAGCCATACAAGTTATTACCATCCAAGTACATGGCATACACTGAGACATTGCTTAGCCATACAGGTTATTGCCATCCACGTACATGGCATACACTGAGACATTGCTTAGCCATACAGGTTATTGCCATCCACGTACATTTCATACACTGAGAAGACATTGCTTAGCCATACAGGTTATTGCCATCCACGTACATGGCATACACTGAGACATTGCTTAGCCATACAGGTTATTGCCATCCAAGTACATGGCATACACTGAGACATTGCTTAGCCATACAGGTTATTGCCATCCAAGTACATGGCATACACTGAGACATTGCTTAGCCATACAGGTTATTGCCATCCACGTACATGGCATACACTGAGACATTGCTTAGCCATACAGGTTATTGCCATCCACGTACATTTCATACACTGAGAAGACATTGCTTAGCCATACAGGTTATTGCCATCCAAGTACATGGCATACACTGAGAAGACATTGCTTAGCCATACAGGTTATTGCCATCCAAGTACATGGCATACACTGAGACATTGCTTAGCCATACAGGTTATTGCCATCCAAGTACATGGCATACACTGAGACATTGCTTAGCCATACAGGTTATTGCCATCCACGTACATGGCATACACTGAGACATTGCTTAGCCATACAGGTTATTGCCATCCACGTACATTTCATACACTGAGAAGACATTGCTTAGCCATACAGGTTATTGCCATCCACGTACATGGCATACACTGAGAAGACATTGCTTAGCCATACAGGTTATTGCCATCCAAGTACATGGCATACACTGAGACATTGCTTAGTCATACAGGTTATTGCCATCCACGTACATGGCATACACTGAGACATTGCTTAGCCATACAGGTTATTGCCATCCAAGTACATGGCATACACTGAGACATTGCTTAGCCATACAGGTTATTGCCATCCAAGTACATGGCATACACTGAGACATTGCTTCGCCATTCATGTTATTGCCATCCAAGTACATGGCATACACTGAGACATTGCTTCGCCATACAAGAAGTTATGTATACCTTGTAGTTCTGATTCTATCCTCTTATTTTATCAATGTAAACCAATTGAAAGATTCAGTATTTAAATCTTACAAAGGTTTTTATTTGTTTACACCCAAACATATCTTTATTTATAATCAATAAAATAAAATAGGTAACATGCTTAACAACATGATGCTGCAAGTAAAAATTATGAAATAGGCAAGAAGCTCACTGATATTTCCAGAAATACTGGTTCTTCTAATGTATGATTGAAAACAGATATTGTACTCCACTGACAAGTATGAATAGAAAAATTCCATGTTGCTTCGATTTTTTTAAATCGAATAGTTGCTTTGAATTGAAATGTTTTGCTGCTTCACACACCCCTACATTTAATACGGGATTTTCTCGGCATGTGATTTGTTTCGATCGTCAGTGATTTCGCTGTGTCGCGAGTGATCGCGAGACGGAAAAAGGTGTAGTAACATGGAGAACGGACCCAGTTTTTGTTCGGGATTTATATAAAAATGGTAATGAAAAGTCGGGAAAAAGTCGGGAATTCCATTTGAGAAATCTGGTAGACACCCTGTGATCTCATCGGCTCGCAAATTTGACGCGAAGACCGCTGCGGGCCGATATGATCGTCGCTGCAGTTCAGTGCGAGAAACGCCACGGGCCGATTAGATCGTATTTTCGTATTTTTATTACTGCGCGTTTATTTATAGACCGATTTCCATTAATTTAATGTCTTGTTAAAGGCATGGAATCACTATAAATGGCTGTTCTTTTTGTTTTTATTGTTAAAGTTAGTTTTTACAATATACTAACGTGTAAAGTTGTTTCGATCAAGTAGGCCGTGGCTTCGCGGCAAACGTCTTGGCGCCACTCTGTCTACGACACCTGACGTTGGCGGCATTTTGTCTATTGGCGGGATTTCTGTCATTGTCTTACTGTTTACTGCTGTATGTGGTCAGTGATGTTGTGATTTCGCCTTTTGTTAGTTATAACAAAGTTTTATGGTAATTTTTATATTGTGCTAGTGTTAGAAATGAGTAACAAAAGGTGCCCCGCTTCGCCCTTAAGTGAAAATACACTTGTGAACCAGATAGTTGCGAGTGGATACGATGTACTTAGTAAAATGAAGACCGTGATTCCCTTCTTTACGATATATCGTCTTCCGTCTCTGAAGACATTGTGGATGATACAGATGAAGATCCGTCAAATGATCCGGATCCGCAACAAACTCGTTTAGAATCCCTGTTATCTATGAACATGGATTGTCGGCGTAGGCCTATAGGTTTTGATATAAATTTACCTGGACCTTCAGGCGGTTTAGTGTCTCAACGATCTGAGGAAAATCAAACCATGGCATTAGAGAGGCCTCCAGATGTTGCAACGCATAGCAGTTCAGAGCAGGACGTCCCAGGCATTCCAGAGAATATGCAACGCATTGAAAATCGTTCGATCGTTCGAGGAAGAGGACAAGGTTCTAGCATTGGATGTGGACGTGGTTGTGTACGTGTACGTGGACGTGGACGTAATCAAAATAGACCTACAGGACCCAGAGTACCGGCACAAACTTCTGATTGTGAAAGTAGTGAGTGGGAGGAAATGGAAGATGGTCAAGATCCTGGCTATCCTGAAATGTTTCCTTTTTTGGAAATGGCCGGACCCTGAGATTGTCCCCCCCGAAACTCCAGCCCAATAGCTTACTTTTATATATTTTTTACCAATGTGTTGTTGAACACATTTGCGGTAGAAATTAACAAATATGCACAAGGGTATTTGAGTTCTCGTGAGGGTAATATAAGCCCCAGAAGCCGACTGTGATCTTGGGTAAACACAAGCGTGGAAGAAATGAAAGATTTCATTTCCTAATCCTAAACATAGGAATCATCAAAAAACCTACTGTCGAGAGTTACTGGTTTACCAGTTCTTCCCAATCTAACTCCTGGTTTGGCAAGTTACTCAGTCGAAACAGATTCAAAATTTTATTGAAGTTTTTTTATCTGGTTGACCCAAACACCCTCCCAAATCACAATGAGCCGAACTACGACCCATGTGGGCGTTTTCAACCGCTAATTGACCATTGCAACCGTCTTTTTCGCCTTTACTATATCCCTTATGAAATATTGTCAGTGGATGAATCCTTGGTGGGGACAAAAAAACGGATCGCCATGACACAGTACATCCCCAAAAAGAAACACCATTGTAGGGGCATAAAAC